AGGCTTACCCAGGCGAGCTGCTGGAGCTCTTGGAAACTCCCCGGGGCCGTGGCAGCTTGTGGAGTCTGATGGGGGAGGCCTCGAGCGCAGCGCTGAGTCTCTTTAAATGCAGAGGCCTGGTGAGGCTTGCGCGCTGAACTCTTTGTATGTGCTGAACTGAGGGGTGAGCGGGAGGCTCCCAGCTTAGGAAGCAACTCGGTGTGTTGCCGTCCAGTGTTTCGGGTGCTGTGCGTGTAAACAACGAACAGGCGTGTTTATTGTTCCACCATAGCTGAAGGTATAGCTTGTTTCTATCCTCCTTTCTTTTACATACCGTTGAAAGGGGTACTTACTGTGAATATGCAATATTATTGCTTTGTGAAGAACCTCTGTTTGTGTTTTTTTTTGTTAGCGTTACAGTTTGACACCTGTGTTTGGGGAATCTTTGCCATAATACTCAATGGTAACATCTAGTTTAAAATGTGAATTTATTACTTGGGATTTTTTGTTTGCTTTTGTGTCTTTGTTTTAAAGGAGTACTAATGTTTTAAGAATGTGTGTGTTAATAAAATGCTGATTTTGCTTGAAGCTCTTTGCTCTTCAGCCTGTTTAAAGTCATAGTTAATTGGGTGTATGGAAACATTCTTCATGGAGTATATTTACTTAGGAATTTACCTTTTTTATCAAAAAGAATAATTTTATTGGTTATTCTGAATAGTAGTTGAAAACAAAAACTGAAATTATAAGTAAAAATAACTTGCTCTCAGGAACTGATAGGGTTGCATGCTCTAGTTTCATTGTTGTTAATAATTTGCCCAAAAGTCTATTTAGCTTTTGTAGTATTAGTATGTTAAATCATGACTTAAGCTCACTTGCTCTAAAAGATAAGGATAGAATAGGTTCTACTTGAAGTTCTACTACCAACATCTACGACTTTAAATGTATAATTTTTTTTTTTACCCCTCGTAATGTAAAAAAATAAGTCATGGTTTCTTGCAAATTTTCTCATTCTATAATGGACCTCCTGGTGAATTATTTCTATTCTGCCAGGGTCCTGTTTGTGAAATGGCAATTTACCACTTCCTTTGTCACAAAGGATGTATGTGAGGAAATGCCTAGATAGCATGTTGGTGGAAGTCTATTTATGTACCCAGAAAGACATAAGTGGGTGCTCATCCTTGTCCTTGCCACCTGCTTGTTGTGTATATACAGCATGTATTTGGTGCTGCTTCCCGTCTTGTGATACTTCTGTGCTTAAAGGCCACGATCGGAGTATCTCATCGCCTTCTGTGGAAGCCAGGAAGCTTGCTGCAGCCGTACTAGGATTTCATTGGGGCTAGCTGATTCTGAAAGTGATTTTCAGATAAACAGGCTTACAAGGTAGTGGTGCAGTCTCCTGTCACTGAGATGCTTCATAGCCCACATCCTCTGGAGACAGCCAAGGGGCTTTGTGTGAAGGTAAATTCTGCTGCAGTGATGACAGGAATCCCTGTGCTTCCTTGTGTTCTGGCCAAGTCAGAATCTGTGTCTTGTCCTGCCCTCCTACTCTGCTGATTTATTGTAACACTGGTTCAGTTGAATTGCAAGGGAGAGACCATACTTGAGATGATTCTTGTCTGCTTCCCCAAAAAAGCAAATAATCCGGCTATCTCCTGTGCAGGAATGTGGAAGTTAGTTTGTGAGGTTAGGTGCATTTTAGTGTTCACTTGCATTCTAGCTGAAATGTCTGCTTCTCTTCAATTGCCTTTAGGCTTTCTTATAAATGTACTCTTATTACTTGGGGATTTTTATACAACTACGTGCTGAGTTCATTCACTATACATCCCTTAGTACTTAGAAACAGATGTTTATGGACTTCTGAGGAAGTAAAAAGGGCTGCTTAAAGTTTGGGCCCAGTAATGCTTGCAGCAAAGCTGGTACCAAAAGCCTACATGAATCTGAGTCCAGACAGATAAACGGTATCTAAATCAGAAATCTGCTGGGACACTCAGAAGTGTTTAAACTGGAACTATGTCTACCTCTGAGGTTCTCTGCCAAGTTTTGTGGTTTTAAATTTCCAAGATACTGTATTAGCATGTTTCTTTTTCTGTTCCAGTTGTATATGGAAGTTTCATAAACGACAAGAAATAATACATGAAAGGTGGAGTGCTGTTAAATGTGAGTGAACAAATTAGAGGGAGTTATTGTCTTCCACCCACCCATGGTCTGTTCCATAGTTTAAAGTTCTGCTGTGATAAGTATGTAGAATATTTCTAAATAAATTGGGTTGATCATCTGTTCTGTGGGTTTTGTGTTGAAAAAATTGATAACTAAAATAAAGCTATTGAACTAGTAGCAAGGTTTAAAAGAAAATACATTTTCATAGTAAATTATAGATATTTGTTTTTCAAAACTGGTGCTTATCTCTGAAGATTAGTTTCAAGTTCTGCTTAAGTTAGCTAAGGCTGCTTTGTTGCTTTGAAAAATTGAGTAAAGGTTTTTCCCGTTGAGTCTGAATTTTTTAGAGCATCAGACAAACAGTGAATCAAACCAAGGCCTTAAATCTTCTAAGAGTGATTTCTAACTATGTGGTGTTTAAATGGCAAACCTGTTATCGTTACTGGAGATCCTGGTGCTATGAAAGCCAGCTATTAATAGACCTATGCATAAATACCTCCAAGGCTTTTCAGTTGGCAATGCCATTGTCAAGTACATATTTTATCTAATACTAACTTAATGATATATTTCCAACCTTAGCAAATAAGGAATATGATGTAAATTCTAGGATTTTATTTCTTTAGAAATCAAGTAGATAGAAAACCAGTGGGAAAGAAGAAAAGAACAGGAAAGAAGCTGAACCAGTATGTTATTTTTTCCAAGTCTGCCTTTGCACTGCCTGTGTGGGTTGCAGAGACAGAGGGAGAAGTTGGGTAGCTGCTAAAACCTCACTCACGTAGCCTGGCTTTCCATGTGGGAAAATATTGCTGGGTGTCCAAAGCATTGTATCAGCTGTTGAGCTCCCAGTTAAAAAGTAGGTTTATTGATGAAATGGTGAGTGTTAAGTACTCAAGATGAACACCAGTGGAAACTAAATAGAGGTGTCCCTGGCTTGTGGTTTCAAAACTCTTTTCTGTTGGGATGGACCAATTCCAACAGATCAACCTCAATCATGATTTTGAATTTCAGTAGTCATATGTCTGACAAATCCATTTTGTTTTTGTTTGAAACAAGTGCTATCTGATGTTATCGACACCACTGATATTGAAATTCACTGTGTTTCCACTTTAATTAATGAGGAATCATTACTCTCTGGTCCCCGTTTCCTATGGACTAAAATGAGCTCTTATTTGTTGTTAAAGTATGGCAGCAGTTGCTGTGTTTTCTAGCAGTATTTGCTGCTTATTGTAGCAAGAGAATTAGACTGCTTTGCTAATACTTCCGCACTACTGATTTAAGCTTCCTCTAAACAAAAAATAAATTTTATATACAAGCCAGTGAAAGCATTATGGCTCTAGAACAAGTGGAGTAAGTTTAGAGAAAGATCACTTAATGGAAATGCTTTCTCTACACATCAGTTTTTTAATATTACAAATAGCACAAGTGAGAGACCTTGTTTTTCATTAACCCCATAAATGCATGGGAGGTGCTTGCTTTCAGAAAGCTACAATGTTTAGGGCTTTAAGTTTTGTCTTCATTAGTAATGGAAGTACATCAGGATTTGGAGGCTACAGGTGGACTGACTAAGAGCATTTTAGTCTTATGTGTAGAGATTTCTTTCTGAACTGCTGTTACCTGTGACTCTGTGCTTTTTGTCTGTTTCTTATGTATATGTAACTATACAAATGAAAACTCTTATTTCAGCATGTCAAAATGCATCTCCAAAATGAGATAGTTGTTGATGTTTTGATTATAAGAACTAAAGTGTAGCTAGGGATGTTTTACCTTAGTTTAGACATGTCAACACAGTTGTGTGGAATATCTTTTACTGCTGCTGAAACAGGAGCCATAGATAATCTGAAAATAGCCAGGATTCTGCTTTGCTAACCATGCAAATCCAGGATAGCCAAATCCCTTTTTGTTAATTGCAAATTACCTACTATCAAAGAATCTTTACTAGAAAAGCAAAGCTTTTCTTGTGGCTGATAAAATGGAGAAGGGCTCAAGGTTTTTTGCACGTATTTTGAACTTAAATCATACATAATACCACAAGTAGTCACCTGTGCAGCTCTGCAAGTTTCTTGATATGACAACATCAATTTTTATTTTATTCTTAAATCTATAATACCTTTCAAAGACCCCATGGAAAGTTTTGCAGGTGTGGGTTGGGTTTTGGTTTTTGGTTCTGGTTTTGGGTTTCGGGGTTTTTTTTGGAAGTGGATGGCACTCTGCAAAATGCGCCTAATTCTAGCCATGTGAGTCATTTTGCAGTTGCCCCTTCTTCTAGGGTGTGTATTCAGTGGTTTTATGACAAGAATAAATTAACCAGTACCAAATATTACAATTTGATGTGAAACAAAGGAAACTCCCTTGCTGCTTAGTGGATGGTGTTCAAAGGTTGTAGAGTAAAAGGATTTGACTATATGTAAAAACTTTCTTGGGTTTCATCTGTGTTATGCTTTGTTGCTGCACAGACCAGAGTGCTTTGCTCAATGGGCTTTCAAAGCAAAACTCACTGAAAGCATGGCTACGTGTTTTTAAAAATTTTTATGCTTAGCTTTTGGGGATACTAGCATAACTTGGTTCCTGTGGAAGTGTAGTATAGTTGTGATAAGAGCTTGGCTCATTACAGTCGTGTTCCAGAACACTCAGAATTTGCTGAAAATAGAGTATCATAACGAAAGTCGTCTGAAATACAGAGAGCTTCATACAGGGATATCTAGCACTAGCAGCAATACTGCTAAAATACTGAGACCTCCGTATTTCTGGTAACTAGCTTTTTTTATTTCAATACTTCATAACACAGGCTGAACAATGCAAGGGCTTTACATTGACTTTATGTAACTTTAAGTCATTGCATTACTTTATTTTCACCTTTTACAGTATGATTTGAAACAGTCAACATGGACTTTTCACGTCTACACACGTACACTCCTCCCCAATTTCTGCCAGAGAACACTGGCTATACATATGCACTCAGGTGAGAACTCTTTTCTTCTTGTAGAGAAACTGTATGTTCTCTGAATGTTGTTAATTCTGGAGAGTTTAGCTTTCATGGTAAGTAGCTGACTCCTTTGAAGAAGCGTGCCTTTCTAGTCTGTTTTAAAAACAACTGCTGTGTCCTAAATGGAGGAAAGAATACATGTCGAACTAACAGGACAATGACTAAGGTAATGACGCAGTGTTTATTAGTTGCTATGAATAACTAGTCTCCGCCTAGTTACAATTGCTCTTTTATTTCTACAAATATGTCATCAAAATTCTTAGATGTTTTCGTGTATGTCTTGTAACTTCTCTGTGTGTTTTCTTTTGCGAGTTGGCACCATTTTCACTTTAAAACACTGATAGATATGCACTCATTGCCGCTTCTGTGGAACTTGCCTGGAAGTCACATATTGATTGCTTTTTTTTTTTTTTTTTAGCAAAACTGCTTGCTGTGTGAATGTAAAATCTGTATTCTAATGAACTTGGTTTTTCTTGCATCTTTTTATTAAACTGACCATTGTTAGACTGTTTTTCTTGAATGACTTCAGTTTTCTAGAAAATAACTGTGTAGTGTGCTTGCTAGTTCTTGTATTATGTATGCAAAATAAATCTTGTGATGTCCATTGAGGTTTTTTTTTTAATATTAATAGAGCAGATTGTGGCTGCTGACTTAATCTATCTAGCTTTTCCTGTTACTGAGTTAGTAGATGTATTTTGAAGCAAGTCTACATCAGTGAGCCTGAGTTGTTGATTTAGCTAATTTTAAGTTAAAAAAAAAAAAGTTTGTTTGTTAGGATGCAGTATGAGATGGTTTTTCTATTCTGTCCCTGTAAGTCATTATTATGTGTTTAATGTATATTAAAATATGGTATTTAGGTTGGAGAGTACTTGGCTACTTGCCAATAAAACAGAAGTTGGCAAAATGTAGAATTAAGAGATCACAAACTTAATATTCTTGCTTTTGTATACTCTAAAATTGTAGCATCATCAGTTTTGGGGGATCATGGGTTTTTTAGTGTGATAGTGTGATATCAATAGTGTTGCAAAACAGGATGTGTTTTACGTTGCATCAATGAAATTGCAATTATTCCTGAAATTTTAGAAAAACAATGGTAGAAAGTTGGTTAAATACAAGTGGGTTTACCAATTCCAAGAAAAGGCATGCTGGACAATGAAAGATGATTTATGAGCCTTATATCAGCAAGCAGATTCACTATTACGTTAATAAGTGGTTTTGGATAGCTCTGCATTGCAAAAGTACCTTAGACTGGCTGAAATATTTTAACCCTTTTACAGAGGATAACTTTCCCTATTGTGAGCAATGAAAGCAGACTTATTCTTCAGGTTGTTTAGACAGTGATTTTTTAATGTCTCTGTGAGCATAACTTTCTTAAAACAAGCTGTGAAATTGTCGCCTAATTTGATTTCCTTAGTTATATTTGTCTGAAATGATACTAGTATATTCTACTGTACAATCTTTTCCACAGCAACTAATCTTTCTCACAAACGAGGGAATACGTAGGTCTTAAATCTTAATTTCTTAAGTTAATACTATTTTCTTTTTTTTATTATTATGTGTATTTTCAAGAGTACTAGCAAAGTAAATGTCAATGGCTTGCGTAAACTAATCTGTCAGGTATGAGTGTTGTTTCTAACTGAAGCAAACAAAGAATAACACAGGAGCAAAGATTAACCTGCCAGGAAAGAAAAATACAGAATGATAAATCCTATTTGAAATAGTTCATTATGACTTTGGTGGGTTTTGTTTAGAAGACAACTGGAGTGTTTGACTTCCTACATAAATGAAGATTGTTGTTTTGCAAAACTGAGAACTTGTGAAGAGGCCTTTGTAGTAGGGGAGGGTTACATGTCTTGAAGCCTCCCATTTTGCTGTGTTAAACTCTGTTACATTTAGGTGTTCAGGAATGGATAGAGCTGGATAAGCTGAAGTTTAATAACTGACTTAATGAAGGCAAGTATAGCTGAACAAGGTTGAAATCTAATTCATTGTGATCCTTCCTTGTGTAGAAAGGAAGGATTAGCAAGTACTTTCTTTAAAGTTTCCCCTTGAAAAATTCTGTGAAGCCCCAAATATTCAAATAATAGGGGAAAGCTACTTGGTACACTGCCTGCATTCAGGGTGTCAAGAATGTAGTACAGTCTTTTGAGCAGACTTGCTGTGTGTCTGCTTGCTGAATCTGTGCAGAATGCCATGTATTACTGATGTAGCTCTTCCTACCTTAGGTCAAGCAATATTTGAAGAATCTGAGGAAAGGATGAGT